CAAGTCATTCCCTTGCCTGAGCCTCCTGAGTAGCTGGGGCTTCAGGCACCAGCTGCCACACCTAGCTACTTTTAGAGATGGGGTCTTTCTTTGGCTCAGGCTGGGACTCCTGAGCTCAACCAGTCCACCCGCCTTGGCCTCCCAGAGTGGTAGGATTACAGGCACCAGGCGTACCTTTTTGACTCTTTTTTAATAACACGTAGCTTAAAGCACAAACACATTATATAGCTGTACAAAAATATTTTCTCTACATCCTTAGTCTCTAAGCCTTTTCCTATTTAAAATTTTTTTTTAACTTTTTTATTAAAAAGTAAGATACAGACACATACATTAGCCTAGGCCAGTGCAGGGTCAGGATCATTAATATCACTGTCTTCCATCTTTACCTCTTAGCCCACTGGAAGGGCCTCAGGGGCAGTAGCATGCGTGGAGCTGTCATCTCCTTTGATAACAATGCCTTCTTCTGGAATAGTTCTGAAGGACCTGCCTGAGGCTGTTTTATAGTTAACGGTACTAAAATAACTAAAGTCTAGTATAGTTAAATGCGGTTGTTGAAAACCGAATAGCTGCCTCCTAACATTTGTTACTTAGGGAGGAAAAAAATATTACATTTTGCATTGTGTGTGTAGGCTCCCCAACATACAGTTTTGTTTTCCACACTCGTCAGTGATTTAACAAATTATGTAAGGGTTAATTTTTGTAAAGGGTTTGTAAGGGGTTAACTGTCCTACTTCACACTTGTATTAAATAATTCCATCCACTTACGGAGGAGGAGGAGGATGTGGGAGAGGTAGAAGGTGGGCACTAGTTCATGTGTCTGTGAGTCAGTAAAGACTGACGTCATGTCCCATGTTGAGTTGGTTATTTTGATATGATAAATATCTTTGAAGTAAAACAATTCTATTAACTGGAAGATCACAGGATATATCCATCACATTTTTTCAGTACAGATAGTTTTATTGGTGCGTTTACTTGGTGCAGTTAAGAATTAAACTTGCCAATTTTTTTTTTTTTTTTGGTTGAGACAGCATCCTATCCTATGCCCTGAGCAGAGTGCAGTGGCGTCATAGCTCACTACAACCTCTGGCTTGGGCTGTGGGCATCCCGCTGCCTCAGCCTCTGGAAGCCTCTGGGATTACAGGTGCTCCCCGCAGCGCCTGGCTGGGTTTTTCCATTTTTTTTAGGAGTTGGGGTCTCACTCTCGCTCAGGCAAGTCTCAAACTCCTGAGCTCAAGCAATTCTCCCTCCTCAGCCTCCCACTGTGCTGGGATTACAGGCGTGAGCCCCCACGCCCAGCCAAACTCGCCAATTTTAACATTGCTGTTGCATCTGATGTGATGTTCTGGTAAAAAAAAAAAAAAAATTCTAATATAGTAAATAAATACAGCAACATAGCCTTTTATTATCATTATCAAGTATTGCATGCTGCACATAATTATATGTGCTATACTTTTTTAGTTTATTTTTATTTATTCTTTTTGTTACAGGTTAATGTGAGGGTACAAGGAAGTAAGTTACAATGTTTGTGTTTGTTAGGTAGAGTCCATGTTGTAGTTGTGTCCTGTACCCAAGAGGTGTACCACATACCCTCACATAGTGCCCACTAAGTGGGAGCTACGTGCTATACCTCTATATGACTGGCAGGGCAGTAGGTTTGTTTATACCGGCATTGCCACAGACACGTGAGTACCACATTGTGCTATGAGGGTACAACAGTTAACAACATCACTGGGCAATAGAATTTTTCAGCTCTATTATAATCTTACGGAACTACCATCATCTATGTGTTTTGTCCTTGACTAACATGTCTTAATTCAAAACATGACTCAACACATAGTGCTCAGTCCTAGTTGTAGTTTCAGACATCCCCTGAAAATAAGGGGGACTACTGTGCTATTCATTTATTCAACAAATATTTATTGAGTACCATTGATGTGCCAAACATCATGTTGCCAAATTCTGAATGTGAACTGTCTCATTTATTTATTTTTATTTATTATTATTTTTTTGAGACAAAGTCTCATTATGCTGCCCTCGGTAGAGTGCTGTGACGTCACAGCTCACAGCAACCTCAAACTCTTGGGCTTAAGCAATTCTTTTGCCTCAGCCTCCCAAGTAGCTGGGACTACAGGCGCCTGCCACAATGTCTGGCTATTTTTGATTGCAGTTGTCATTGCTGTTTGGCAGGCCCAGGCTAGATTCGAACTCGCCAGCTCCAGTGTGTGTGCCTGGCACCCTAGCCACTGAGCTACAGGTGCCGAGCCAAACTGTCTCATTTAATCCTTATAGCACTATTTAAGATTATCTTATTTATTTGCATGGGAACTCTCCATAGAGTGCTGTGGCATCACAGCTCACAGCAACTTCCAACTCCTGGATTCAGGTGACTCTTTTGCCTCAACCTCCTGAGAAGCTGGGACTACAGGCACCTGCCACAATGCCCAGTTATTTTTTTGTTGCATTTTGGCCAGGGCCGGGTTCAAACCTGCTACCCTCTGTATATGGGGCTGGCGCCCTCGCCCTGAGCCACAGGTGCTGCCATACATGTATACTTTGTACTTTTATCATTTAGGTAATATTTTTTGTGCATATTTATTACGCATTGCCTTAGTGTTGGGGATTCTGCAGTGAACGAAGTAAAAGCCCAGGCCTCATGGATTTATAGTCTAGGGAAGCGGTGGGAAGTATAAATTCAGTTCCTACTAGAATGTAAGCTTTACGAGGCTATATTTTGTCATGTTTACAAACTCATAGGTGTCTGGCACCTAGTAAGTGCTCAGCAAATGTTTGTTGAGTAAATAAATGACTGACCAATCCCATAAAGTATATAACATTACTTTCCCCATTTTACAGATAATAGAACTAAATCTTGAGAGGGAAAAACTTGCGTGGGGTTAGTTAACAAATGGTAAAGTCAACGCTGGAATTTGGAACTGAAGTTGGATGCTAGAGTCCATGTTCCTTTCATCTGCTTGCCTCATTGCATCCTAGTCTGCTTTGAGGTTAAGCTGTCCTACGAAGATCTTTCACAAGCATAAATCCTTGCTCTGCTGTCAAGGCCTCCTTTTGTCTCTGTGATCCACTCACGTGTCTGTTATCCCATCTGTCCACTGCAGAGTATAACAAAGCCATTCGGAATTACACCCGCTTTGATGACTGGTACCTGTGGGTGCAGATGTACAAGGGGACTGTGTCCATGCCAGTGTTCCAGTCCTTGGAGGCCTACTGGCCTGGTCTTCAGGTAGGAACATTCAAAGAGGGTGACCATTTTTCTGTGCAACCGACAAAGCAAGCTCATCATTGGTACTTGAGTTGCTTGAGTACATTTTTTGGAGGGTTCAGGATGGAAGAAAGACCTAAAGTGAATTAGACAGATGTAAGATTCTGCCAAACTGAATTTTCTAAGGGGAACTTTAAGGTTTCTGGAACTGAGCTTCCAGTTGCCATGGAATGTTATACTACTTAATACTGCTTAACTGTTAACTGGCAGTTTTATGCAGAAACTATCCACGTTACCAGGTTAACAGTGTGTTAAAATAAAACCTCTTTCCAGGCTAGGGAGGAGCAGCCCTGGCAACAGCAGTTTCTCTGCTGGGCATTTCTGTCCAATCTCACTTTTAACTGCATGTGTGAACAGAGATGGTGAGTGGCCTGTGCTACTCTGCTGCCATCATTATTTTTTCCATTACGTGATCTATCTGGAAGAGTTGCAACTGGAAGGGATCTTAAGCCTGTCTAATCTACCTGCTACATGTTTCGAAATATTACACAAACCAAAATGTTTCTGTCATTAGGTGGGTTTTTCTTTTTTATTTTAAGAAAAGGTAATAACATGTAGGCGGTAGTAAATTTTAACACCCATTCCTTTAAAAGCACAAAAGGGAATATGGTGAAAAGTCAGTCTCGAGGCCCCACGCTGAGATCCTCTCTCCAGTCCAGCTCCTACTCTCAGTTTTCTGTAGAATGCCTTAGAATGCCAATTCATAAATATATGTATATTGGTACCCCCTTTTTTCTTTCTTTCTTTCTTTTTTTAAATTTTTTTAAGAGACAAGAGTCTCACTTTATTGCCCTTGGTAGAGTGCTGTGGCATCACAGCTCACAGCAACCTCCAACTCCTGGGCTTAGGCAATTCTCCTGCCTCAGCCTCCCGAATAGCTGGAACTACAGGCACCCGCCACAACACCTGGCTATTTTTTTGTTGCGGTTTGTCTGGGGCCAGGTTTGAACCTGCCACCCTTGATATATGGAGCCAGCGCCCTACCCACTGTGCCACAGGCGCCACCCAATACCCCTTTTTTCTTTACTTAGATAGGAACATATTCTTTGGCACCTTTTTTCTTCACTAAATATATTTTGGAGATTATTCTTTGTTGATACTGTACGTATAGATGATTGGTTTTACCTTTTTTTTTTTTTTGAGATAGGATCTTACTCTGTCATCCCATGCTAAAATCCAATGGTGTCATCATAGCTTACAGCAACCTTAGACTCTTAGGCTCCAGCAGTCTTCCCACCTCAGCCTCCCAAATAGCTGGAACTACAGTCCTGCACTACTATACCCAGCTGATTTTTTTCTCTTTCTAGTAGAGATGGGGTCTCATTCTTGCTCGGGCTGGTTGTAGACTCCTGAGTCAAGTGTTTCTCCTGCCTCTGAAAGCTCTCAGATCTCATTTTTTTTTTTTTTTTTTTTTGTACCTGAGTAATGCACTTTATTTATTGTCAAGGAATCCCCTCTAAAAACTCTGGCCTATATTTAAAATTGGTGCCCTGCTAATTTCCAGAGTATTATTGGAAACACCCATTCCTCCAAGTATAATTGGAAAATATAGGAATCCACTGCAGGATACTGCATGAGGCTTCATCCATGATCATTTCGGACTTGATACCTTCATCTTTCCACCATCAATCAGAACGAATTCAGCTTCCCAGAAACATTTACACAATAGTTGTAAAAAGTTTGCCCAATAACCGGCACTCTGCGGCTTTTTAATAGCACAGAATGTTGCTCGTGCAAGTCAGAATCTGATACCAATTAAATGGTGACAGCTTTGCCAATGAACAAGAATATGTGCTTCCATGGCTACCAGATCTCATCCTTGCTCAGGCTGGTTTTGAACTCCTGAACTCACGTGATTCTCCCATCTCTACCTCAGCCTATTAGGATTTCAGGCATGAGCTACTGCCCCTTGCCCAGTTTTACTTTTTTTAAACAGTTGCATGTATTCTGTTGAATAGATACATAGTTCGCCCTCTATATCTGCAGCTTTCATATCTACAGATTCAACCAACCACTGATCAAAAATAACTTGGAGTGGTAGCTCACACCTGTAATCCTAGCAGGAGACCGAGACAGGTAGTTGCTTGAGCTCAGGAGTTTTGAGACCAGCCTGAGCAAGAGCAAGACCCTATCTCTCCTAAAAATAGAAAATTTTGCTACTGTTATGAATCGTAATATAAATATCTGATATGCAGGATGTATTTAGGTGACCCCTGTGAAAGGGTCGTTTGACACCCAAAGGGGTCACAACCCACAGGTTGAGAACCACTGCAATTGTTTGAAAGCAAAGAATTGAAAAACTATGGGTAAAAAAATTAAAAAATAAAATAAAGAAATAATAGTACCCCATAATTGCTTTAATGTACACAGTTACGCTATAAGAAATGAAAAAAAAAAGAAAAACTATGGGATTTGCAAAAGAATTTGTTACCCAGAGGTTAGGGTCATTCGCTTTCTCAACACTTACATTAATATTTTAAATTTAGCCCAGTTTAGTGGTCAGGAAGCTCTTCTACCCCAGAGCAGTGTTCCCCAGTAAGGATCAAGATTGTCTGTAGCGACACTGTGCTTCTGTGCAGTGGCAGAAGGATAATGGTGAGAATGGACAGCTTGCCTTTGGGTTACCAGCATATGTTCAGGCAGGTTTGTTTTCAGGAAAGTTGAGGAACTGGAAATCTATTTCCTTAAAACTATTCGTGATAACATTTCCTTTTGGAAAACCTTGCATGACCCAGTCAGAACTGATCACACCCTGACCCTGCTTAATTCCGTTTCTATTCATGTTCTCCAAGAAAATAATCTAAGCGGGAAAGATGTAACTTACGTATAAATTTCCCAGCAGCAAAGTTGATGACAAAGAAAAACTAGAAATGGTCCAAATTCCTAATAACAGAGGAACAAATAAAGGTTGTATGGATTCAATGGATTATTAGGTAACTTTAAAAATGAACTAAGGCCTGGCACAGTGGCTTAACACCTGTAATCCTAGCACTCTGGGAGGCTGAGGCAGGTGGATTGCTTGAGCTCAGGAGTTCTAGACCAACATGAGCAAGAAGGGACCCCATCTCTACTAAAAATAGAAAAATTAGCTGGTTGTGATGTCAGGCGCCTATAGTCCCAGCTATTGGGAGGCTGAGGCAAGGGGATCACTTGACCCTAGGAATTTGAGGTTGCTGTGAGCTGTGATGATGCCACTGCACTCTATCTTGAGCAACAGAGCAAGACTGTGTTTCAAAAATAAATTAATTAGGCTCGGCACCTATAGCTCAACTGGCTAAGGCGCCAGCCCCGTACGCCTAAGGTGGCGGGTTCGAATCCCCAGCCCAGACCCGCCAAAAACAACAATGACGGCTGCAACCAAAAAATAGCCGGGCGTTGTGGCGGGCGCCTGTGGTCCCAGCTACTTGGGAGGCGGAGGCAGGAGACTCGCTTGAGCCCAGGAGTTGGAGGTTGCTGTGAGTTGTAATGCCACGGCACTCTGCCCAGGGGGACAGCTTGAGGCTCTGTCTCAAAAAAATAAATAAATAAATAAATAAAATTAATTAATTAAAAAAAACTAATATGTAAACTCCTTTGTACATGAGGTAGTGGTGAACAAGAGTCAAGGAATGATGAAGGAATGAAGATTGCTACTGGACTATAGTGAGGACTTAGAGCGATAAGTAAACTTTTTAAAAATTTTGATTCTTGGCTCAGTGCCTGTGGTTCAAGTGGCTAAGGCGCGAGCCACATACACCTGAGCTGGCAGGTTCGAATCCAGCCTAGGCCCACCAAACAACAGTGACAGCTGCAACCAAAAAATAGCCGGACGTTGTGGCAGGCACCTGTAGTCCCAGCTACTTGGGAGGCGGAGGCAGGAGAATCGCTTGAGCCCAGGAGTTGGAGGTTGCTATGAGCTATGATGCCACAGCATAAGTAAACTTAACAATAACCAAAAATGCCCATTAAATACCCATTATAGGACTTACACATGCATTACAACTCTATGATTTGGATTTGTATATTAACAAATAGAAGACAACAAAGATATACAGATTGTCCATAAAGTTTATGTGCAATTTGCTGTGTTAAACTACTTTAAATTGCGCACAAACTTTATGTCCACCCTCTATATATAGTAAATGGCTGATACTATAAGATTAAGAAATTATTTATCTGGCTCGGCGCCTGTGGCTCAACCGGCTAGGGCGCCAGCCACATACACCTAAGGTGGCGGGTTCGAATCCCAAGCCTGGACCCGCCAAACAACAGCGATGGCTGCAACCAAAAAATGGCCAGGCGCTGTGGCGGGCGCCTGTAGTCCCAGCTACTTGGGAGGCTGAGGCAGGAGACTCGATTGAGCCCAGGAGATGGGGGATGCTGGGAGCTGTGATGCCATGGCACTCTACCTAGGGGGACAGCTTGAGGCTCCGTCTCAAAAAAAAAAAAAAAAAAGAAATTATTTATCTGTGTATTCCTATATGTTTTTAAAATTATATAACTTGTAATAAAAATTGGGATAGCAGGTATCAGACCTATCGTATCTAGCAGATAGAGTTAAAGGAGACATTTTTATGCCTTTATTTCCCAAATTTTCTTAAATAAAAGTAAAAGCAATAAGAAAGAGAACTGGCACGGTAATGAAAGGGTTCCACCCAGTCTGGAATTTGTGCTCTTCGTGTGTGGCCCTTTTTCTGTTTTCACTGGGGCCCCTGGTTATTTCCCTGTGAGGTTATAACGCTCATAGCTAACATTTACTAAACATCTCTTCAGTGCTTGCTAGTCATCTTGTACACAATCGTGATAATTTAAATTCATAAGATGGAAGAGTAATTTATGTGCCAGACACTTTACACAGAATCATCACAACATCCTGAAATAAATGTGTCATAGACGAAGAAAGGAGGGTTAGCGCTGCCAAACCGGTTCATTCACGTACTCGGCAAATACTTGAATGCCTTCTGTGTTCCAGGGTCTGCTCTCATGAGGTTTATAGAAGAGGAGACACACAGAAACATGTATTTTATTCTTTTGTTTTGAGACAGAGTCTTACTTTGTCACCTTGGGTAGAGTGCTGTGGTATCATAGCTCACAGCAACTTCAAATTCCTGGACTCAAGCAGTCTTCTTGCCTCAGCCTCCTAAGTAGTTGGGACTACAGACGCCTACCGTGACACCTGGCTAGTTTTTCTATTTTTAGTAGAAATGGGGTGGTCTCAGTCTTGTTCAGGCTGATCTTGAACTCCTGAGTCCACCCGTCTTGGCCTTCCAGAGTGCTAGGATTACAGGTGTGAGCCACCACACCTGGCCAAAACACTTAAACAGACAAATATGTAAAATAATGCACTGCAGTGCAGGAAACAAATAAGAGGCTGACATGGAGAAATTGGATGGGGACTGCTTTAGACAGGCTGCTCAGGGGAGGCCTCTCAGCAGTGGTGATACTTAAGCTGATACTTGCAGGGTAGAGCTGGGACTCTTTGGATGTTCTAGGCAGAGGAAACAGCATGTGTAAAGGCCCTGAGGCAGGAAAGAGTTGGGTGTTTATCAGAAACAAACAAAAGCACTGTGTCTACAGCCCATTGAAGGAAAAGCCTAATCACGGGAAGGTCAGCAGTGACCAGCTTGTGCAGGGCCCTGAGGGCCGTGCTGAGGCTTCTTGGATTCGTACTAAGCTCATGCAAAGCCACTGAGGTCTGGTGTATATAGTGAGATGGTGACTCTGGTTACGTTGGGGAGGGCCAAGAGGGCATGTGGTGGGCATCTTATAAGGAGGAGGCCTTTAAGGCCATCTCAGTGGGAGATACTGGTGACTGGGTGGTGCTCTGGAGATAGAAAAAAATCTTGATGATGTAGGGATGGAATTAGCAGCTGCAGCTGATGAAACAGACGTGGGGATGGGGAGAAGGAAGGAAGCAGAAATGATGACCAGGTTTTTGGTCAGAGTAAGGGTATAGACAGTGGTGCCATTTACCAAGAGGGAGAGTGGTGAGAGTATGGGGCAACTTTATGGGAAAGTGAGGGAACCAAGAATTTTGTTTGGGAAATATCAAGCTTGTTCTATCCGTGAGTCTTCCAGTGGGATGTCAAGGTCAGCTATTTCCCTATGAGCTCATGGTATTAATAGTGATGGCTACTTAGCAACAGCTAATAAAATTGTAAATGTTTACATCATCTAACCTAGCAATCCTAATTCTGAAAATTTATCTGACAGATATTCTTTGCATATTTTGGAAGTAAATATGTACAGGGTTATTTATGGTAGCATCTATTGTTGGAACCAAGCCAAATCGCTATTAATAAGGAACTGATTAAATTTTGGTCCAAACAATAGAATACTATGTAACCACATAAATTGGAAGAGGGCACTTTGTATGCACTTATGTGAAACATATAGGATATATTGTTTGATACATAGGGAAAGGGCAAAATAGTTTATTTCTTGTTTGTTTTTGTTTTTTGTGTGATGGCATCTTACTCTGTCACCCTGGTAGAATGCAGTAGTAGCATCTTATCTCACTGCAACCTCAAACTCCTGGGCTCAAGCATTCCTTCTGCCTTCTGAGCAGCTGGGACTACAGTCACCTGCCACAACACCTGGCTAATTTTTCTATTTTTAGTAGAGACAGAGTCTTGCTCTTGCTCAGGTTGGTCTCAAACTCCTGAGCTGAAGGTATCCTCCTGCCTCGGCCTCCTAGAGTGATGGAATTACAGGCATGAGCCATCACCAGGCCAGGTGGCAAAACAGTACATTTAATAGACTATTCTTAGTGTGGGGGAAATCATATATACTCATTTTGGCTTATATTTGCATAAAGAAACTTTGGAAGATTATATAAGAAACTAATGAAAATGCTTATCTGTTGGGTG